ATGGATGGAAGTCCATGGACAACACTCAGGATGAAAGCATGAAGGTAATAATACTGTTTTCTTCTGTGGTATCTTCTGCCCTTCCACGTTTTCCTTCAGTGAACACATCTTATTTTGGTTTGCTGAGACTTGTTTTGTTGTTGTTGTTGTTGTTTTTTGGTTTTTTTGGGTTTTTTTTGTTTTGTTTTTCAGTACTAAAAACTCAACCCAGAGCCTTCCACAAGCTAAGCAAATCTCTACCCCCAAACCATACCACCAGCCCTTTCCTTTTAAGATGCCCAGGTTAGCCTCAAAATTATCATCCCCCTGTCTCAACCTCCTGGAGTAGTTGGGATTGTAGGCCTTCACCTCTAGGCCTGGCTCAAACATGTTTTTATAACAAAACTAAAGGGGTGTGTGTGTGTGTGTGTGTGTGTGAGAGAGAGAGAGAGAGAGAGAGAGAGAGAGAGAGAGAGAGAGAGAGAGAGAGAGAGAGAGAGAGAGCTTTCTTCGGCTCCACCACCTATAAAAAGCACAGTTCCTGGAGGTGCTCTAGATACCCCAGAGATACCCCAGTCCCTTCTGGCCTGCACTCAGTTCTCATTCCCAGGATCTGTACAAACCTGTCTGTATCTCTGGTCTCACCTCACTTTTTCTGGTCCCAGCATCTTTACACAATCAATTTCCTCCACCTGGAATGTTCCCTGTGGTCAGAATCCTATCCCCCCATCAAAGACTCCTCTTTGAACAGCCCCTGCTCCAGCCTGCTTTTCCCTTCCTCCATTCTTGGTTTCAATACCCTTGGGGCCTCCTGGAGACCGATATCTGGTCAGGCCAGTGGCTTCCTGTGCTGTGACTATTAAGTGCTACCATACCACCGAGGTTGAATTGAACTGAGTATCTTAGCAGAGGGGCCAGCCCTGCAGAGAGCTGGCAAGAGAATCCCAGAGAGACTCTGGCTGGCTCTTCTCCCTGCAACCAGAGTTTGGTGTCCTTCCTTCAAGAAGGTAGGAAATATTGCCAGCCTGAGCCAAAGGAGGTGATGCTCTGGGCCAAAGCATTGTTGCCTGTAGGCTTGGATTCCATGGAGCCGTGTGGTAACACCAAGAGGACAGCTGGTGGAGACTTCTCTCTCACTCACTGGGTCACCGATCAACGGTCCCAGTTTGTCCAGGACGGAGGAATCTCTCAGAATGTGGACTGGTCAGGGCACACAATGAGGAAACCAGGAAAGGTATGCATGTTGTTTTGAGGCCCCAGGCTGATGTCACACAAGAGACACAGCTGTTGAATCTTGGCCTTGGTGGCCTGGGGTAATCCTGAGTTTAGGTCCTGAGACCAACAACATCTTAGACCAGCACAGGAACAACATTAGCAGCTGGGAGTCTCCTTAGGTCTCGCAAAGCTCTTGCTGCCCTTCCTATCCTAAGGTCCCTTCAGTCTTTACACCACTCCTGTCCCGGCCTTGCACCTATGGATAGCCAAGACAACTGGGTCTTTTCCCGCTGTTAGACCCCATCCTCGTTGATTTCTTTTTGTTTTTGTTTTGTTTTAGAGTAGTGTAGGAGCTTGAGACAGGGCCTCTGTGTGGCCCAGTCTGGCCTCAAACTCTTGACCTTCATGCCTTAGCCTGCCAAGTGCTAGAACTATAGGTACTACCTACCCAGCTTGGGCCTAGCCTTGTTTCAGGGCCTGGCTCCAGTCATCATCTGCACGAACCCCTCTACCCCCACACCAGCTCGCAGACTGTTCTCTTCTCTGCCTTTGAAGATCCTTACTCCTCAGAGCTTAACACAGGAGAATTCCTCCACCTGTGAGCTCCCTGCTGCCAGCGAAACTGCGGCTTACATCGTTCATGTATGCATTTACTCACACGGTAAGAATTAATCTATCTGGCATCAGCTAATAGCACATACTTTGACTTCCATCATGACTAAGTTGACTCCCTCACTTATTAACTGATGTGTGACTCTGAATAGTCTTTGCTTCTCTGGGTCTTGGTTTCTTAACATAAGACAGGTACCGCTCTCATCGAGTACCACAATGTTAGAAGACTTAGCACTGTAGATAGCCGCAGCTCTTGGACGACTCCGGGGTAAACATACGCACTGCATGCCATCATTATTATTGAGTCTACCAGGTGCCAGGTAATCTGGGACACCAGGAATACACAAAGGACACATCCAAGAACTAACCAGTCGAGTGGCACAGGGAGACATATAAACCGGCAATTGCATGCAGTGTGACTAATGAGGAAGGTATGGCCACACGGCAGGGAGAGTGGTTACTCAGGCTAGCCTGTAGGCAGGGCAGTCATGGGGAGGCATCCCAGAGCATGAAAGCCCAGAGCCATGATACCAAAATGTGTGGGAGGAGCTGGAGGAAATGGCTTATAGTACGTGGTGACAGTCACTGGTACTGGAATGGGGACAGTTACCTATAGGAACCTGGATGTGAAACGAAAGAGTGTAAGGAGAGGGCACTATCAGGAAGGGGGCCTCGCCCATGGCAGGGGACAGGCGGCTGGTGGTAGAATCAATTGCCTCTTACGTAGATCACTCTGGTGGACTGCGGTGGGCAAATGGGAGCAGGAGACTGGAGGAGCACAAGCCAGAGCTTCCTGTACAGCCCCGGGGCAGCCTGGCACCCAGCCTGGCATTCTTGCTAGGGTCCTTGGATCCTGGCCCTGGTGGGACAGCTGCCCATGGTGCCTTATCGTTGGCTGCAGACTTCCAGCTGACCGCCTCTCAGGCCCGGCAGATCCATCCTCTCTCCTTTCTTCTGCAGTTCCGGCCCTGGACTCTCTCCGGCTCTTCCCACCTTCTCCGTTCTTCCCCCCCCCCCCCCCCCCCGGGAACAGCCTCGCTCCTGCCAAAGCCTCAACTCCCAACCCAGCTCTCCCAGACCAGAACAAGCCCATCCCTTCTCCCCTCAACCTCCCCACCCCACCTCATCGGACTCCAGTTGCTGGGCTGAGACTTGCCCTGTCTCATTTTCCCATTGATGACTCATGGATCAGGCGGGGTGAGGCCCCAGCTGCCAGAGCAGGGGGAGAGTTGGTGGCAACAGCCCCTCCCTGGCCTCACAGTGTAGTGTCCTCAGGTCCAGCTGAGCAGTTTTCTCTCTCCCGAGAGTCTGCTGGCACTGTGAAGGCCTGCCTCTGTCACCAAAGGGACTTTTACCCTACAGCAGTCCAACAGGCATTTCAAGCCTTGGCTCCTTCCTGGGAATCCAGAGCAGAAAGGGCACCCTGGGACTCAGGAAGCAGAGCAACCCCTTCCCCGTCAGAGACCAAAACTCCCCTAAAATGTCACTATCTTGAAATAGTGAATTGCTGTCTTTTGAATCACTCCTGTTCTGAGTGCGCCAGACCTCTCCACAGGGAGGGTTCTTGAGAACCCAGGGCTCTCCGGATATCGGTAAAGATCCTTTCTGTTATAACAGTCTCCATCTGCACCCATGTGCCAGGAGCCTGCTAAGTGCCACGGTCCACAAGAGGGTCTCCAAGGGTGACCCTTAGAGGGTTTGAGACTCGCCTAGCAAAAGGACACACCGGTTGGCTTTGGGCAAGAACCAAAGCACACTTGGAATCAAGCAGGCGTGTCTAAAGAAGTAAGGAGCTTCAGAAACCAGAGCACAAAGCACCTGCCCTCTGCCCTTGACCCTCAGCACTGCCCATGTCCCGCTGCTGCCCTTTGCCGCACAATGATCCCTCTCAGCTCTGCTGAGGTCAACGCTGAGCAGCAAGGGAACACTGCCTGGTGTGTCAAGGCTTCCCGTGCTCAGCTCTGCTGGCACCGGCTGCTACTGGTTGTTCTCCCACTAAACTCTGGCTTCCTAGGGCAGAGGCTGGGTCGTCTATTTTGTCCCTCCATGTCCACTGGAGAGAGAGAGAGAAGGGTACCTGATCCAGCAGGCATTATTTGGTGAACGATCACACCTTGATCCCAAATGCATCCCCTCACAAACCTTCCTTCCTCCATTTCTGAGTGCCTGATGCCTCACTTCTTTAAGCCTGAATCTCCACCCCCAGCAGTTCCTGGGCTTGATTGGAGTAGTCTGGAAATGGGCTGTTTTCATAAGGATGGGGAAGCTAACCCTTTCCCACTAACAGCTACATCATGCAGGAGTGGAGACTTTCTCCCCTTTCCTGATGCATCCAAGTGCTGACTCCATCCCCCACAGAAGACATCATCAACTGATCACAGCACCCGGGATTAGACCTAGCCTGTATAGCACTGATCTCAGTCGGCATGGAAGGTGATACTTTTTGACCCAGTGGGATGAAGCTATCCCAGGGCGGTGTAGACTAATGAGATAATGCAAAGGACAGTTTTGAGTGTTCCTTTGTAAATCACACACTCATATTCAACTGGGAGATGTCGTTTCCCTCCCCCATAGGAGGCACGTCTGAGGCCTGAGGGACATGGAGAGGAGAAAGGGAAATTTTGATTCGAAAACAAGAGAAACGTCAAGGAGTGAAACATGAGAAGAACAAAGAGGTTATCAAAGAGATTCCAAATTGGAGGGGTTCCCTTGGCCTCACTGTTCCCTCCAGAGACTCTGAAGCAGGCCATCGCTCTGCATCAGGGAGGGGGGAGACTTGCTGGTTATACTGGGAAGGGCCACAGCGGTCAGCAGCACGTTCTGTCTAACTCCAGGCCGTGATTCCCCTGCATCTTCCCACGGAGGAATGATTCCCTAATGCTAGCCACTAAGGAAGGCTTCTTCTATAAATGTGTGCATTTGCATGTGGAAATAACAGGGAGAGAAGCCGACCCAGCAGTCAGAGCCGCTTCCCGGGTTAGCAGGGGCTAAGTAACCTTCTACAGAAGCAGCGTCCGCAGGACTGTGACATTCCTCAGTCACACTGAGGCCAACGAGGCCATGTCTACTGGGGGTACTGTGCATGCACCCCTCAAGCTATGTATTTCAGAGGGCCTATAGGTTGGGGAAAAAGTAGAAAGATGCCCCAAGCTCCGGGTGTCTGTAGTTAAAAGAATTTCACTCAGCAGACAGTGTGGTTACTGCCCACAGACTGGGCATCTTCATTCTGGAATAGGCATGAAATGGTAATGGCCAAACCCTTACCCCACCCCCACCACCTCCAGGCCCAGTACCACAGTGAGGAGAGGGCAACAGAGGTGAGGGAAGAAGTGTGCAAAGAGAGAGGTGGGTGGGGGGTCCCAAAAGGACCAAAGCAGCAAGAGACCCCCAGGCACAGGCCTCATGCCCAGCAGATCCCCATCTGCAAGCTAAGTCCAGCAGTTGTCCTAAGGTAGGGTGGCCATCTTCTGGATCCCAGGCTGGCCTCCTGAGTTCCGCCGAGGTCCTGGCTTAGCATCCCATGAGGAACTGCCCTCCTGTGGGCATAATCTCAAGGCCAGGGGCCAAACAGCAGTCTGCAGAACCCAGAACCAGTGGCAGGATCAGTGGGAGGGGCCTCGATGCCAGGTAAGCCTCACGTCCTCCACCATGATACATGAGGCCAGGCCTGCGGCTGGAAGGCCTGTGGCTGGAAGGCCTGAGCCGAATATAACAGTCTCAGTGTCCAGGAACTGAATCTTCATCCTCAGCCCCTCATCGGCTCTCCGCCCCTGGCCGGTTGGCTCCTTCCGTGATGATATGCTTCTTCCACATGCTAATAGCTTCTGCCACGTCACATGTAGTCAGGCCCCAACCAACCAGAGTGGGCAGAGAAGCTGGAGAGAAAGAACAGTGTTTAGGACAGGGGAAACAGTTGATTTACCAGGAACTGGGTGCCTCACCCCAGGCCTTCCCAGTCTACACCAGAACAAACGGAAATAACGTAGCCACTCCTGTGACCCACAGGAAATAGGTTCCAGGACATGCCACGGACACTAGCTAAAATCTGGAAGCTTCTTTCTATATCAGAGTGTGGTTTTTGCATATAACCTACGCACACTTCCCATATGCCTGACATCATCACTGTAATTTTTTAATACCTAACACAATGTAATGTTATATATATATGGTTGGTATACTATATTGTTTGGGAAATATTATCAAGGAACAAGGTCTGTAAATGTTCAGATAACATTTTTTCCCCCAACTACTCTTGACCAGGGATTGGCTGAATCCACAGAGGAAGAACAGGTAGCTACAGAGGGCTGATGATACACTGTGGCCACTGCTTTCTCCAGCCCCGCTCTGAGTCCTAAGGGGTCAAGGGGGACCCCTTCTTAGCCCAGCGGGTTTATTTTATATCCAGCTTCACTACAGTGTGTGGGGGGAGGCAGTGAACAGGAATCTCAAAGGCCTGGAGCATTAGATGGGCCTCCAGCCTCACCTGAACTCTGCTTGCTGGTACAAGGAGGAAGGGGAGGTGGATGAGGTTCTAGGTGAGGTGTAGTCGGGTCCTGAGGGACAAAAGCTTCCACTGGAGAAGTTAAGGCCAGAGTTATATAAATCCCTCCTTGACCCAGCTCAGGTTCCCATGGGGAGGCAGTGGTATTTGGGGAAGAGGGCAAGAAGGCTAAGTGCCATGGCTTCTAGGTTCTATTCCTGGTCCCTTCCTTGAGCCATATTCTAACCACAAACCGACCTTCAACCTTCTGTCTTACTGCTCAAGGAGGATTAAGACACCACAAATAATTCATGGCCCCATCCTGTTTTCAGCCATCCAGCCCCTCTTCCAGCTGCATCTCCTCTGGCCCAGCCGACCTTGGCCAACGCTCATGGACAGGCCGACAGACCGGCCCATCACCCCTGGACCTGATGGCCTGGCTACAGCCCACCTCACACATCTCTTGCTCCCTGGCCCTCCCTCCCAATAGCTCAGCCCTAGAGCCCTGAAGCCACCCACAGTCAAGAATGAGCTGTTGAGTGGTTGGCTCAGTCCAGCCCTCCACTGAGGTCCCACGTGGGGTGCTGGGACGCCATGATTTTGTGTCCAAGCCCTTATAACTCCTTCGATAACTACAAGATGGCGAGTCTTCACCTCAGTTCAACGCTTAAATTCTCTGACATGCATTCATTCTGGAAGAGAGTCATATAATGCAGGAACCCTATGTTGGATGAACGTGTTAAGCCCATAGGTCCACCACATCAGTCCGTGTTCAACTAGTCTCTGAACTGGGCTCTTCCTCCCAGGACCCTTGTCTTCCCCTCAGATATTTGGGCCACATTAAGGACCCTCCAGCCTGGCACCCTAGGGAAAAGGCCAGCTCTGTTCACTTGGCCAGGGGCCCAGGCTTCCCAAACACACTGTCTTGGGATCCTACCCTCTGCTGGCCCCAGAAACCTTCCCTAGAGCCGTCCAGCTTTGGGAAACTGGCAAACAAAGCCCCTGGTTTTCTATAGAGGACCGAGGGGGCAGGAGAAGAGAGAGGGTTCAGTGCTCTGGGGGCTTACCTGACATGTCCTCTGGGCACGGAGCTGGGGAGGGGGGCATGTCGATAAAATGGTATACCTCGTGGTTTAGGACACGAGGGTCCCAGTCCCAAGACTCTGCCGGGCCCGCACAGTCTGGATGGCCTGTTGATTCTTGAACTTGACCAGGCCCAGGGTGATCTGAGCGTTCCAGCCGGGGTCTTCGAGGGGGCAGCGGAAGTCGATCTCACCCCCGCCCTCGGTCACCAGCGTGAAGTAGATGTGGCGCCCGGTGCTCTCCACGCACTCCACGGCTTTGATGCGGGCGAAGCTGAGCTCCTTGGGCCGGCCGCCCGTGCCCTTGGCCTCGAAGAGCTGCAGCCCGCGCTCGGTGAGCACGCAGCGTTTCCGCTTCCACAGCTGCAGCAGCCCGCCGCTGCGCTTCTCCAGCACGCCCTCCTTCAGCACGGTCGCCGCCGCCGCCGTCATGGGCGCCCCCCGAGGTTCCCGCAGCGCTGGTGGCTGCGGCGGCCGCGGCGGTCACCGGCTTCTCGGCGCCGGCTTCTCGTGCCCTGGCCTGGCCGGCTGCCCTTGCTCCCTGTCCAGCCGAGCCCGCGGCCCCGGGGGGCGCCTTGCAGACAGCGGCGCCCGGGAGGCGCGGTGAGGATGCTGCTCGCTCGCCGCCCGCTCGGGACCCCGAGCACCGGCCCGACCGCCCCGAGCCTCTGCCGGGTACCCTGCGCCTCTCCGCCCGCACGCCCGCTCCCCTGGGCTCGGTCTGCGCGCTGGGAGGCTGCTGGCGGGATGTGCCCTTACATGTTCCGCCGCTCGCCTCCTGCGCCGCCCGCCCGCCCGCCCGCCGTGCATTCCTGCCCCGCTGGCCCTCCCCTCTGCGCCGCGCACCCGCCCGGACAGGGCCCCGAGGGGCGGGGCCGCAGCGGGGCTCGAACACCCACCGCCAGCGCGGCCCCGGGAGGGGGCTGCTTACTCAACAGCCAGGCCTCTGGCCTGCTGTGGCCCTTTCTTAAAACACACAACCTTCCACTCCTCCACCCACCCCCCCCCCTTCCCCGGCCTCTCACCCGGGACATAGGAGGAGAAGGGGGGGAGGTGGGGAGGCCAGAAGAGGAGACGTCGGGGAGGGAGGGCCAAGGAGCGTCTCTCAGAGGAGCGATGTCACTGCTAGCCAGGGGTTGGGCCTGCTTGGCGAGCGCAGTGACACCATGGCATGGTGGGCGTCAAATACCCGCTGGATGCTTCTCAAACCGCGGAAGTCCTGGTCCCCAGCCTCTGCCAAAGGCTAGTGTTGGGTTCCTCCACCATCAGCAAATGTCTGTCTGCTGGGCTCACAGGAGGCCGGCCACGGCTTGGACAATCTATCCTCCCATGTTTACCTGCTTCAGCCTAGGGTAGACATCAGAAAACAGCCAGTATAAAGTGGGGAGAGATAAATCTTGACGGACCCCTCACGACTTTACCATAGTGGGAAGTAGAGGCAGCATGCTGTGGGCTTGGGGGTGTCCCACAGATCTCTCCAAGTACCTGAAGGTGAGCAGCACTCATTTGGAGGACCAGCCATGCTCAGCCTTGTGGCTTCCCTACAGATGCCACCCCGGAGAATGGGCTTCTCCCTGGACTAAACTGAGGGGAGACAGGCTTCTCCCAGTTGGCTTCAAACCCCTCTTCCCTGATTGCAATCTCTCCTGCCTGGACAACGGCTCTAACCTTTCATGTTTTCATCTGTCAAATGAGATAACTCATCGACCCTGATCTAGGAGGACCGTGGTGAAGAATAAGTTAGAGACCTTGTCTCTGAGAATCTTTCAGCCGTCTTCCTCCACGGCTCTCCTAGGACCTCACCTGGCCCTCTTGGTCAACTCTTCTAGGCCAAAGTTTCTTAAACACCTAATTCATGGCCATGTTAATAATCAATGTCTGGGACTAATGATACATACCGATAACAGAAAGAGGACCCCTTTGTACTCACGCCGCATGTTTCTATCCTCAGTGAGAAACTAACCGCACAGGGAGCGTCCCGTTGTGAGCCAGGGGGTACCCTCCCCTGCAGAACCAAACCAGGTGTGGAGGGCAACAGCTGCCAGCTTCTCACCCATAGCCCTGCATTCGGAGTGCATGTACACAGTATCTGTCTGTCCCTCCCTCCGTCCTTCTCCCTCAGCTCCCAACCTCCAGAATGCCACTTCAGGAGAGAGAACAGACAGTACCTTCAGAACCCCATCTGGCAGCCATGCCTTGCTGTGGCTTTTTCTTGTGAGGGTCCCCCGAGTTCACTAACCTGGCCGAATCCTGCCTTGGCCCAACCTTCTCTCCTTTAGGAAATGGGTGGTGAGGATGGACATGGCGGTGGAGATGGACGTGGCGGTGGAGATGAACGTGGCGGTGGGGATGGATGTGGCGGTGGGGATGGATGTGGCGGTGTGGATGGACGTGGTGGTGGGGATGGACGTGGCGGTGTGGATGGAAGTGGCAGTGTGGATGGAAGTGGCAATGGGGATGGACGTGGTGGTGTGGATGGATGTGGCGGTGTGGATAGACGTGGAGGTGTCTTCATTCTGTCCCATCTCTCAACACCTCCTCTTTCATTCATGCTTTCTGCAGCTACTGGATCATTCTCAAGTCTTAAAACTTACAGAGCCCTCTCCCACGTTTTAAGTTCTCATGAGAGATAGTTAATATTGTTTTGCTCACTTTTTCTCATAAGGAAAAAAAAATGAGACCGAAAAGTCAAGCAACTTGAATGGGATCTGCAGTCTTGTAAACAGTCTAGGATGTAAATGTACGATGGCCCACAGGACCCGGAATCTGCTGATGACGTCACGCTGCCTCTCCATAAACACTGAGCCCTTTTAACGAGTGACACAGCCACCCACACTTGCTACTTCCTGGCTGGAGGACTGGAGCTTCTAGACAGTGGAGGAAGGAAGGGAAAGGTCAGCAACACTGGGTAGCAAGACAGTAGGCATAGGAGGAGACTCAGTGGGCACACTCTCCTGCTGGGAGGGTCTCTGCCCACCAACACATAGTTCCCCATACCACATTGTCCTAACAGCCTGAGTCTCTCAGTCTTTGGACCCAGGCGCACTGACCTGCAAATTGTGTGGCCTCCTGGGGTTGGAAAGAGAATTCAGTTGCCCTAGGATTAGCATCTTTCCTGGAAGCCCCACCTGAGGGGCACTCAGGTCTAGGCTGGATTAGTTGAATATCGGGGGAAGAAGTTCTGGAGAGCAGAGGGTGCCGGGTATGCCTCGCAGACAGGGTTCCTGAGACTCTGCCAGGAATAGGAACTACTGCTTGGCCTGCTCAGGCCACTGACCGGGAGACAGGGTGAGCCCCAAGATTTTGACTGGACTCTTACTGGCTTGTTGACTCCACAGGGGACAGATGGACAGAATGTCCCCTGTAGCAACCCAGAGCTGACACCTCCCTTTGCCCGCACCAAACAGAAAGCTGATCTGCCCTGCCAGGTAAGCTGAGTCCAGCTGTTTGGGACTGACTCAAACCTCCTGGGAGGAGGGGGCAGGGAGTGAGCCCGGAATGGCTCTCTTAGTGAATGCCCCATTTTGAACACTGTGAGAGCGAAGGAGGGGGGCCTCGTGGAGAGGGAGGCCACAGCTGGGGCAAGAGATGCAAAACGAAACATCGATGGTTTTATTTTTTTAATGATTTATTTATTTTTATTTTATGTGAATTGGTGTTTTGCCTGAATGTATGTCCATGAGAGTGTCAGGTCCCCTGGAACCGGAGTTACAAACAGTTGCAAGCCTCTGTGTGCGTGCTGGGAATTGAACCCAGGTCCTCTGGAAGAGCAGTCAGTGCTCTCAACAGCTGAGCCATCTTTCTAGCCTCCATAGCTGGTTTTAAAAATAATTGCATTTGTATTTTATGTGTAAGTATACATGTGTGTGCGTGGGCATCTGTGAGGGTACCCATGGAAGCCAGAAGAGAGTGCTCCATTCCCTGGAGCTGCTGGAATTCCAGGCAGGCGTGAGCCGTCTGACATGGGTGCTGGGAACCAAACTCAGGTCCTCTGAAAGAGCGCAGTGTTCTTAACTGCTGACAGTTCTCTCCAACCCCAGGGCTACTGTGTCGCACAATATCTGCGTGAATAAATTAAGTCAGGGAGCAATACATTGCAAGACAAAGCAACAGCAATAAAGGCAATTTTGTCAACAGTGTAGAATGTAGAATGTGGCAGGGTGATGCGGACCTGTAATAACTCACTTGGGAGGTAAAGGCAAAAGGATAGAAAATTCAAGATTGAGCACGTCTTTGATACCAGCAAAGTTAGGCAGATCCCTGAGTTCGAGGCCAGCCTGATCTACAGAGTGAGTTCCAGGACAGCCAGGGCTGCACAGAGAAACCCCATCTTGAAAAACCAAAATAATTAATAATATTATTAATATTATTATTAATTATAATAAATAATTAATAATAATAGTAATAATAATTCAAGGTTGTTCTCAGCTACATAGTTAGTTCAAGGCCCATTTAGATATATGAGATCTGTCTAAAAAATAAAGGTTGACAATCTTTCAAAAAAAGGAATATATATTAACACTAAAATTTCTAAACTAACCCAGGCATAATGGTACACGCCTATAATCCCAGCACTCTGGAGGCAGGAGGGCTGCCACAAGTTTGAGGCTAGCCTGGTCCACATAGAAAGTTCCAGGCTAGGTTGGGCTACACAGTAAGGCCCTGTCTCCAAAAGAAAAAAAAAATTAACTATGTAAAATGACGAAACTTCTTTGCTCAGGATCCACGAGAGCCTTGTCATTGCACGCAGCAAAGCTAATACTAGTGACATCACTCACCAGGCCACCCAGGACTGGTGGTCTGAGGCCTGCTCTGGCTTGCTGACCTCAACCTCCTTACCCATGACCTTTGCACTTTGCATTCTGATGGAAGGGAGCCCTCACCACATCACCACCTGGTTCTTCTTCATCTCCCTCCATTCTTTGTCCCGGTGCCTTTTCCGTGAGATTGCCCCTAAGACCCTGCTTCAGACTTCCACCTATTCCCCAAAGACACATCAGGTCCCCCCTCTCTGCTTCATTTCTGCATCACCCTCTTCAGATCTGTGTTTCCTGTTTATCCATCGTCTGTCCTCTGCTAGAACGTAGGCTTTATACCAGCGAGAGTTTGATATTTTCTTCACCCTCCTAGCTCCAGCATCTAGAACGTCGCTTGGTTCACAGTTCGGCCTTGATGAACATTTACTGATGAGTGGCAAAATAAAAGCCCAGAAGTTGGGAGGTGAAAGAGGGTGATGCTACCACGAGCTACTGAACTAATTAAAGAGGTCTATGTATACCACCTGAAACAGTAACAAGCTAGACCTGGCAGCTGACGTCTATAGTTCCCAGCACACAGGAGGCTGAGGCAGGAGAATCAAGAGCTTCAGACCAGGTTGGGCTATACAGTGGGTTCAAGGCTGGCCTGGACTACATAGTGACCATGTGTCTCAGAAAGCCTAAACAAAGGGAAATGGGTGGTTCAGCAGGTCATGCCACTTGCTATCAGACTTGGCAGCCTGAGTCTCATCCCCATAATCCACACGGTGGACGGAAGGAGAGACTTGACTCCTCCAAGTTTTCCTCTAATGGCATCTCCCATGGCATCCACACACCACCCTCATTCCCCTCACAAAATAAGTCAATACAGAAATGTAAAGATTAAAGGCCGAAACTCAATAGTTAACAGTTCCTCTGTGAAAGAATGGGGGAAATAGTATTTTTTTTCTTTTAATTGTTCGTCATTCTATTGTACTTGTTTCGATCCTCTGCCCACATTGCTTCCTTTACAAATCTAGTTAAGTACCCAACACATCCACATTTATGTAGTTAAAAATGAGTTTGAGGGACTGGAGAGAGAAGTTAAGAGCACTTACTGTTCTTGCAGACGACCCAGGTTCAGTTCCTGGCATCCACATGGTGGATCACAACCATCTATAACTCCATTCCAGGGAACTCAACCCCTCTTCTGACCTCCACACACTCTGCACACATGTGCTACAGACATACACTTATGCACACACACATACGTAAAATTAAATAAATATTTTTAAATAAAACAAATAATAAGAGAGCTGACTAAAATTCATGGTTCAGTAGGGACTATTTCAGTATTGGAAGCATGATATGGTGTGAAATATGGCCCCACATGAACTGAAGCCCACTCTGTTGTGTAGGTTAAGTCTGGAAAGATCCACACTGATATGTGACTGATATGTTGGCGGGCTAACCTGAAGATACTTGCTATTTGTTTTCCTTTTTTAGTTTTTGGAGACACAGTCTCCCTATGTAGTTCAAGCTGGCCTAGCTCCTGAGATCTTCCTGTCTCAACTGTCCTAGTGGCAAGATTACAAGCACTATACTCAGCTT